CCGAAGGGAAGGGAAAACACGAAAGTCAAACAGCAAAGCAAAACATTGGCTAGGGATCTGCACTTTAGAAAGTGTTTGAGATCAGTCACAAAGGTGGTTTTAGTGACAGGAGGCAAAGTACAGGATTAAGCGCGAGCATGAGAGCATCCCTGCATGTTACACACAGACAATTATCCAACAATTACCAGGTCTTAAGAGCTCTGGTCCCACACGTCCTGGGTTAGCGCACTGGCTTCCAAAGACACAAAATAATGAACTGTTATTGGAAAAAGGTATTAATTTCAGCACATGTGGAAGAGGCAAAACTGCTTAAAGTGCTTTTACTGATGCTCCCCGGACAACAGCTGGTTTAAAGATCAAGATGTTCGTGTTACTCCGTTCCTTTCAGCTGGGCTACACAAAATGTCTGTTCTACAGACAGATACAACACAGCACTGAGAGTGTCTTTGCACCGCAATTTCAAAGGCTATGATAAGAGAAGCAGATGCTTACCCTCCCCATGGGAAGCCAGGAACCTGCGCCTGTTGGGAATTAACAGTCTCGCTGGCTAAAGAGACGAGAAAAGGCAGAGCTGAGCCTCAGAGACATCACCAGGAGCTTCTCGTTGAAGCTGCCCGTCTGCACAAGTTCAAAAGGACTTGATGAAAGCTGGTAAAGCCAGAAACAGAAAGTGGGGGCTTGGTCTTTACAGTCCCCAGTCCCTTCTCAGAATAACCCCTTCCCACTGGCAAGGGGAAATGGGCCTTTCCAGAAACGAAAGAAACCGGCTCCACCGAGGACCACGTCCTCCATGGTTGACACAAGCCCCAAGTTAACTTTCGTTTCACTCTCAGGAGCAAATTCCGAACCTATGCAACAAACTGCAGCAACTTTGGGGCTTCTTACGTAAACCAAAGCATACGACATCATGTAAAAGGAAACAGGAACAAAGCCACCCCCATCTAGTGAAAGGAAAACAACTGCAGTTCCGTGAACCAAAGATAACGACCGCAAAAGCAGAAGTACCCCTGTCCTCCACATCCAAAATAAGCGCACGCAGCACAACACCCTTCCTCGCGGGGACTTCCAGGCAAAAAGCCCCATGGTGGATGTTGTCCCAAGGCTCTGCTGCTCGGGATTGTCCCATCTGCTCCTCACACTCATTGGCAGCTTCCCTTCCCCAGCCGTGCTCAGGAAGGGTACAGACTACCCAAAGCTCGTGAGGAAGTTGCCGAATATTCCCCGTGTTCAGGGGAAGGTGTCCCATGCTGCTGCCTGTCCACTC